TTTATACAAAACAAACAAAGATTAAAGCTATTTTATATAATAATTATTGATTAACTATTATGTAACACTCATCAAAATTGCCATCTAATTTCTTACGAATTTTTTACATTATTTTGAAATGATTTTTCTTTTAAATATCAACAACAATTTTTTTTGAGTTGTAAAAATTATTTTAAAAAATACTATGAATATAAAAAAAATACATGCATATGATTATCGTGCATAGTTAATAACCTATTTTTCGAATGGCAGATTTTTTTACTAATTTGAAATAATTTTCTTTTCTAATAATAAATAATAATTATCAAACTGTAAATTATTTAAAAATAATAATAAAGCTTATATTATCGTTCCTACTTTATAGACTGACGATAATTGAAATAGTTCACATTACTTCGGAAGTGACGTCGAGATGTCACGACGGTCGCGTATCTCCTCGACCGATCATCGATGCGCACCGATGTCGCCAGCAGTGAGCAGCCGACGATTCACGATGGTTTATGGCCGTGGCGTCGTGTGAAATCGTGGAAGCCCGTGATACGCGCGGCAAATGGCCGCCGATGGCTGCCGTGGTGCAGTTTCCGAGGCGGTGCGTGGTGTTGCGTGACGTCCGACTACGTTCGGGTGTGATTGCGGTACCGCGTAGGCGCGTACGGGACGTGCGGTTGTCGCGTACGCCACGCGGCTTCCTGCATCGACCGCGTCAACGTTCCCCGGTAACGCCGTCGTTATCATCATCGTTGTCGCCGTTGTCAGCCTCGTCCACGTCGCGGTCGAGGTAACACCGACGACACCCGGGGACGTGATGTGAGCTTCGTTGACGGCCGATCCCGACCGCCTACACGCCGAGGAGATTCACGCGCGCGCTACAGTCACAAGTCATCCGATTAACCAACCCAGCCAGCGGGGGAGCCCTGAGTTAGCCAGCAAACCAGCCAGCCAGACAGCCAGCCAGCCAGCGAGGTGCGGCTGGCGATGAAAGCCGCGAGAACCGATCGCGGCACGTCGGTGATGAAATCGGTGTCCGAGGGCGAGCTGGGCGTGGAGGAAGAGGTTAAACCCGCGGAACCGCGCGGCGCCACACGGCTCAAGCGCACCTTTACACTGCCGAGAAACCCGTTTCAAAGTGCCAGCAGCAGGATGTCGCGGCGACGTCCGAAGCAGCAACAGCAGACCCACGGGGACTCGAGGGACGCCAACCACGGCGCGCCAAGCGCCAAGGAGAACGCCAGGAACAACGCTCGTCACGCGGACGGTGGTCAGCCGCCGTTTCAACAGCAGCAGCAGCAGCATCAACAGCAGCAGCAGCAGCAGCAGCGACAGAACAACGCCATGGGGAGACTGCATGGCGGTCACCAGGCCGGTCAGCAGACCGGCAATCAGGAATCCCAGGAGCGGCCGTGCGGTAAGAAGGTGTTCCGCCGGCCCTCCTGGAAGAAGTTCATCAACAAGATGGTGCGACACATGTCAAACGTCGGCACTCAGAGCCATAAATCCGCCGCGATGATCCATCATCAACGTTGTAGCGGCGGCGGCGGCAGCGATGATCTCAGCTCGAGCGCGGGTGACATCAGGGTACCGCCGCCGCGACCGGCCCACATCCCGCCAGATCGTGTACCGGGTGTCATAGGCCTACGCAATCACGGTAACACGTGTTTCATGAACGCTGTGTTGCAGTGCCTCTCGCACACCGACATCCTCGCTGAGTACTTCGTCCTGGATCAGTACAAGGTCGACCTGTCGCGCCGCAACAAGCTCAACTCGAAGAAGTACGGCACCAAAGGCGAGATCACGGAGCAGCTCGCGCTGCTCCTCAAGGCGATCTGGAGCTGCCAGTACGACCCGGAGATGAGCACCGCGTTCAAGAGCGTCGTCGACAAGTACGGTAGCCAATACCGCGGCAATTTGCAGCACGACGCCCAGGAGTTCCTCCTATGGCTGCTCGATAAAGTGCACGAGGATCTCAATCAGGCGACCAAGAAAAAGTACAAGATCATAAAGGTGAGCGCTCTCCCTTCTTCTCGTTTTTTTTTCTCTTCGTCACACGATAAGAGTTTTGTTGATGTATCTAAAAATTTAGCTAGGCGCAGATCTGAAAATAATTTCTTTTTTTTTTTTAATTATTTACAAAAAATAAAGCTTTTAAAATGATTATTAGCCCCGCTCTTAAAAAGGACGATCAATTTTATTTGAGGTATTAATTCCACCTTCAATTTGTGATTGCGTTTCAAATCTGATAAACCTTATCAGCGTGCAGTCTATAAAACTGAATTAATATATTTGCAGAAATTTGCATCATTAGGTATTAAGATATACTTGACTATATTGTGTGAAAATAAGATTATTTTTATTAATTGAAAATAATTTCATTTAACTATGCAAGTAATTATATAGAGCTCTTAAACTGGTTGCTAGAATGTCAAAATTTTTTGCAACATTTCTCGTTATGTTTGAATTTCCACTGGAAAAAAAAACTAAATTTTAATATTTGAATACTTCTGAGTAAATATTTAATAAATGTAAACATGTATTTATCTGATATAAAAATCATTGACTTGATTTAACTATCATTTTTTTTCTTGAACAAATATTTTCTGTAAGTAAATGTTTACTATTAAAAGAAATATGTGTATGTGTGTATTAAGATTTTTTACATAATTATTTTGATGGCCCAACAAACTTTTCAGACTATTTCAGCTAAATTTTTTTAATAATTCAGCAAAATCCTTTTCGTGGTAAAATCCGTGACGAACGCGCGGAATGCGTTCACGAGTTACCGATTAGACTTTTCCCGTAAGAAGGAAATGTTTTCCTGCAAAAGTTGTCAATAACTACCACATGTTTCACAATTTAACGTTTAATTGATCTTGCGTGTCCGATTTGTATGTCGAAGACACTTGGAATTCAACTGTTACTAATTCTCAATCGGAGATCACGAGATTAGTATTAATTGGTCCAGTATTAATTGATTCAAATTGTGCCACTTTAGCGGATCGCATCCTTTTAACCTGTCAATACAATGACATTATACTTCCAACGTTGGACGGGAATGCGGAATAGTCATCGAACTAGTCTCGACTGTTATTTTGATGTCACTTCGAAACGTGGGAGTCGTCTGCGAATTAGTATCTCTTTTTTTTTTCGTCGTAGGATGGTATTGTTGCTCTCCTCTATTTTTAAACGCTGTTGGTCGCGTTGTCGGGTGTATTTTTAGTAATAACGTAAGGTCGTGCGCGTGAAAACGAAAATAATGATGTTAACACGTGCAATGATCTTATCCGCATAAAAAACGATCATTGGCGTCTTGACCTCGTATGAAAATTATACCTGATAGATCCCCATAGTGAGAAGATAACAAGTGGTGAAGATCGCCATTTGGAAGGAAAGCATTCGATATCTCTCGCTCATCTAAATAGTTGTACGATATTTTTATCATGACAATTATTGTTAAAAGGTTAAAAAAGTAGTTTAATGTTACAAGGAGAGATTAGAGTCAAGGATGTTAAAATTGAACAGTTTATACGGTTATATATATAATTATTTCTAAATTAATTTGCAATAATTTAGAAACGAATGGAAATTATTATAAGGTTAACTGTTTCACAAGTATAAATTGATAAAGTATTAATATATATATATATTATACGTTTTTAAAAAATAGATTGATATTAATTTAT